TTACATTGGGAGCCAGTATAGAAGTGACCCCCTTACATTGGTGGCCAGTGTAGAAGTGGCCCCCTCAGATTGGTGGTCAGTGTAGAAGTGGCCCCCTTAGATTGGTGGTCAGTGTAGAAGTGGCCCCCTTACATTGGTGGCCGGTGTAGAAGTGAATCCATACATTGGTGGTCAGTGTAGAAGTGACCCCCTCGTATTGGTGGTCAGGGTTGAATCCCCCCTTACATTGGTGGTCAGTGTAGGATGACCCCTTACATTGGTGGTCAGTGTAGAAGTGAATCCTTACATTGGTGGTCAGTGTAGAAGTGACCACCTCGTATTGGTGGTCAGTGTAGAAGTGACCCCTTTCGTATTGGTGGTCAGTGTCGGTGGGAGAGCTATCCACCATTGCTCACCTCTCATGCAACCTCAGAGGAACCCTGGCTGAGATACAACTTATTTTCACCTCATTCTCTTGTTATTTCCTTCTATTGTTTATAGGAAATCAGTGGCGTGTGTGAAGCATCAGTAGGTGGAACCAGTCATTGTGTGTGTTTTTACGGTCCAGTAACTAGGGGGCGTGGTTAGTGGCTGTGGTTAGGGGCGAATCCCTTGTCTTTATACAATGTGATAACATGTGTCATTTTTTTCCTCTTATGAGCTGTCACAGTGATCACTGCCAGGAAGCGCCGTGTATATATGTGATCAGAACATTTCCAGACAACACACACAGATGACAATAGAATTGTGCGATATCTGAAATGATATTTTACACAGACACGTGACTAATTCAGAAAGTGTTAATGAAACCACTTGTGTGATCTATTAATATCATTTCTGCAGAGCTCCTTGTGAACTTCCAACATACAAACCTGAGGGACTGATTTATAAATCCTATGTCCAGTGTACAGCTGGGCGAATGTCCTTTGCGCCACATTACCGCCACTAGATGGAGCTGAGGAGCATAGGAAATGTGTTCCAGGGCTCCATCTAGTGGCGATAGTGCTGCGTTTATAAATCACTATGGACACACAAGGACTATGATTTAAAGTGGAACTTCACCTAATTTCAAAAGTATCTTCTGCTTCCTTCCCCATCCCTCAGACAGAATTTGTAGTTTCCTGACCGCTTGTCTAGGCGGGATTTACATTGGGATGCCCCGATGCTGTACATGTACGGCGCTTTTCCTGCTCATAAACCCCCACCTTTTGCGCACAAGCAGGACACAGTACAAGTTTTAAACAGCCGGTAACGTCTGGTACATACAAATGTTAGGGTGGCTATAGAGCCGCCCGATCACTCGTAAATATGTGGGAGTGTGCAGCCCTCTCCTCCGCTGCCAGCTATCCCGGGCTCTGCTGTCCCCCCGTGCTGGCCCGGAACCTGCACGGCGGGTCTCCTTGCCAGGATTGGAGGGAGATCAGCACACGCCCAACGGACTGAAAGTGCAAGTGATGTGTATTATATCACTTCCAGTGTTACTCTGTCATTTCTCCGGCCGCTGTAGCCAGAGAAGAAGCTGGGGAAGATCGGTACACAATCTCCCTCCGGTCCGCTCTCCGATGTCAGAATGCGGAAGTGATGTATACTACATCACTTCCGCATTCTTGTGTCACTCTCCAGCTTGAGAAGTTGCTGAAGCAGATCTCTGCTTCATGGGTCCCTTATAGACCCCGGATGTGTCCATAAAGAGGACCTGTCACTGTATCTGTGTTATTACATTGGGGGCTTGTTAGCCCCTTATGTGATAGCAATAAAGCTAAATGTAAAAAAAGTAGTAAAAAAAAAAAGTATAAATAAAACATTTTTTTTAAAACAAAAACGTTTTTTATAGTCTCCTGCCCCCGCATACATGCACATACAACAACATACATGTGAAAATGACAATTGTGCCGCACATGTTCAGATTGGAGTGAGAGCAATCATTTTATGGCCATCAATCACTGATAACACTAAACTGATAAGCGGTAAAAGCTTTTAAAGCGTCGCCTATAGCCAATTTTGGGTGTGGTAGTTTTTTTACGTTTTTACGGGCGCACGCAATTTGAAGGCTTGACATGTTTGGTGTCTATTTACCCGACGTGAGCCGGCCTTTTATATTTTACCAAAAAATTGGGTAATAATAAATGTTTTATAACATAACATAGGAAACGTTTTTTTTCCAAATTTGTGGTACTTTTTTTTTTGGTAAGTTTTTTCTTATGGTAAAAAATAAAACCCGCCAGTGGTGATTAAATACCACCGAAAGAAAGCTCTGTCTCCACAACAAATGGTATAAAATTAATTTTGTACAGTGTTGCATGACGAAATAAACGCCAGTCAAATTACCGCAGCGCTGAATACTGAAAAATGGCCTGGCCAGGAGGGGGGTGTAAACACAGCGGTCAGCAAGTGGTTAAAGTGCAGCTGAAGCTACAACTTTCTTTTTATAATTGGATGGGTGGGGGAGGGGGGGGATTAGATCACCTGTCAGGTCTTTATTTCTGTCTGTGCCCCCTTTGCAGAGATTCACCCTCTCTATTTGTCCTGGTGACTGTTGTTGCTGAAAGTGAAAAGTAAAGAAAATCCCACATTTTGGGTTGTCACCAGAACAGGAATAGATAAGAAATCTTCCCGATAGGACACATATGGCAGAAAAAAAGCTGATAAGGCTATAACGCTCCTACTCTATCCAAAAACAAGTGTTGGCTTCAGTTCTATTTTAAGGAGTTATTACTGTTACTATTTATTATTTTACTAACATTACCTAACCCTAATGGTTTTTTTTACTATTATTATGTTATTTTTTACTGAGCACTTGATAGCATATTAGTGTGGATTATTTTTGTATAGGGACTTGCTGAGGTTTGTAGTCCTGCAGGAGATTTTGGTGTATTGTCTATTTTGTTGATCGCTGTGTATATGCACGTTCAGTGGATCGCTGCTGTGTCTATACACGTTCAGTGGATCGCTGCTGTGTCTATACACGTTCAGTGGATCGCTGCTGTGTCTATACACGTTCAGTGGATCGCTCGCTATATACACGTTCAGTGGATCACTCCCTATATACACGTTCAGTGGATCACTCCCTATATACACGTTCAGTGGATCACTCCCTATATACACGTTCAGTGGATCACTCCCTATATACACGTTCAGTGGATCGCTCGCTATATACACGTTCAGTGGATCGCTCGCTATATACACGTTCAGTGGATCACTCCCTATATACACGTTCAGTGGATCACTCCCTATATACACGTTCAGTGGATCACTCCCTATATACACGTTCAGTGGATCACTCCCTATATACACGTTCAGTGGATCGCTCGCTATATACACGTTCAGTGGATCGCTCGCTATATACACGTTCAGTGGATCACTCCCTATATACACGTTCAGTGGATCACTCCCTATATACACGTTCAGTGGATCACTCCCTATATACACGTTCAGTGGATCACTCCCTATATACACGTTCAGTGGATCGCTCGCTATATACACGTTCAGTGGATCGCTCGCTATATACACGTTCAGTGGATCACTCCCTATATACACGTTCAGTGGATCACTCCCTATATACACGTTCAGTGGATCACTCCCTATATACACGTTCAGTGGATCACTCCCTATATACACGTTCAGTGGATCGCTCGCTATATACACGTTCAGTGGATCGCTCGCTATATACACGTTCAGTGGATCACTCCCTATATACACGTTCAGTGGATCACTCCCTATATACACGTTCAGTGGATCACTCCCTATATACACGTTCAGTGGATCACTCCCTATATACACGTTCAGTGGATCGCTCGCTATATACACGTTCAGTGGATCGCTCGCTATATACACGTTCAGTGGATCACTCCCTATATACACGTTCAGTGGATCACTCCCTATATACACGTTCAGTGGATCACTCCCTATATACACGTTCAGTGGATCACTCCCTATATACACGTTCAGTGGATCGCTCGCTATATACACGTTCAGTGGATCGCTCGCTATATACACGTTCAGTGGATCACTCCCTATATACACGTTCAGTGGATCACTCCCTATATACACGTTCAGTGGATCACTCCCTATATACACGTTCAGTGGATCACTCCCTATATACACGTTCAGTGGATCGCTCGCTATATACACGTTCAGTGGATCGCTCGCTATATACACGTTCAGTGGATCACTCCCTATATACACGTTCAGTGGATCACTCCCTATATACACGTTCAGTGGATCACTCCCTATATACACGTTCAGTGGATCACTCCCTATATACACGTTCAGTGGATCGCTCGCTATATACACGTTCAGTGGATCACTCCCTATATACACGTTCAGTGGATCACTCCCTATATACACGTTCAGTGGATCACTCCCTATATACACGTTCAGTGGATCGCTCGCTATATACACGTTCAGTGGATCACTCCCTATATACCAGTTCAGTGGATCACTCCCTATATACACGTTCAGTGGAGCAGTCCCTATATACACGTTCAGTGGATCGCTCGCTATATACACGTTCAGTGGATCACTCCCTATATACACGTTCAGTGGATCACTCCCTATATACACGTTCAGTGGATCGCTCCCTGTATACGTGTTCAGTGGATCGTTCCCTATATACACGTTCAGTGGATCGCTCCCTATATACACGTTCAGTGGATCGCTGCTGTGTATACACACGTTCAGTGGATCGCTCGCTATATACACGTTCAGTGGATCGCTGTGTATATAATACACTCGGCTCAGAGGATGATGTATTTATAGAAGGAGTGAGGAGTCGGATCGGAGGGGTGACGGGTGAGCCCAGTGCGGGGGTCCCCGATCTCCCCTGTGATCCCTCATGTGGTTGGTCCACTCCATGTGGAGTGGATGGCACAGTGACATCCCCGCCCCCTCGATCCTCCTGCTATGACGACAGCGGAAGCCGCTCCAGTACACATCGGGCGTCCCCGAGCTTGGGATCACCGCCCTCCGCTCAGCTGTGTGTGTCACCCCGGGACATCGGGGAGCGATCATCACTCGCACCGAGCCGCCCGCCTGCCCGGACCATGTCTGCTGGGTGCTGTGCCAGGCAGGTAAGTCCTCCATCACACTGCCAGTCCACCGACTCACCATCCACCTTGTAACATGCTCCGCTGTATTGTACCCCCGGCAATACAATACAGCGATACAGATCGGAAGGTCACACAACACACATTCCATGAAAATGTCTGAGCACACACACTATGCGATCTGATTGTACAACCTACATCTACCATCCATGGAATTCAAGAGGCTGTGTGATTGGATAGGTTAGGTGGGTCCTCAGATTGCAGAGATTGGGTGAATCTGAAGCATATTGTACAGTGTATGGCCAGCGTTAGGAATTAAAGGCACATCCATACCATGTCCTGGTGTTTCCATGCGTTGTGCTGGGTCTGTACTGTGCTTGGTTTCTGTACATGTCACATTGAGGGTCCACATAACAAACGTCTTATTGTACACACATCGTTTTCTATGCATTGCATGCGGCATGTTCACACTTCTCCTCACATGTGGTGTGAACGGAGCACATAGACAACACATGATTGTAGCGTGTCCATGTGTTCAGCTTCCATTGGTCGTTGCAGATCAACACACCTGATGTGAATGAGCCCCAAACCCCACTGATCCATCTAGTCCAGGTCTGGGCAACTCCTTCCCTCCAACGGTTGTGGAACTACAAGTCCCATGAGGCATTGCAAGACGGACCGTTACATGCATGACTCCCAGAGACAGAGGCATGCTGGCATTTGTAGTTTCACCACAGCTGGAGGCCTGGGGTTGCCCAGCCCTAGTCTAGAGAGGTTTCTTATCACACGGATAAAACTGAACACCTTCTATGGAGCAGATGAGCGGAGCCCATTGTTGGGGTGGTCATACACTCCGGGGTCTGAGAACACACAGATTGTGATATGGAAGTAGCAACAGCGTATACATTGTGTATATGAGACATAGATTGTATGATAGATAATAATGATCTGCGCAGCGGCGTGATCAGGATCTGCGCAGCGGCGTGATCAGGATCTGCGCAGCGGCGTGATAAGGCTCTGCCCAGCGGCGTGATAAGGCTCTGCGCAGCGGCGTGATAAGGCTCTGCGCAGCGGCGTGATCAGGATCTGCGCAGTCGGGTGATCAGGATCTGCGCCGCCGTGTAATAATGAGGACGTCATGTCCCGAGCATCGGGAAAGGTTCCGTCCATGAATGAGCCCCAAACCCCACTGATCCATCTAGTCCAGGTCTGGGCAACTCCTTCCCTCCAACGGTTGTGGAACTACAAGTCCCATGAGGCATTGCAAGACGGACCGTTACATGCATGACTCCCAGAGACAGAGGCATGCTGGCATTTGTAGTTTCACCACAGCTGGAGGCCTGGGGTTGCCCAGCCCTAGTCTAGAGAGGTTTCTTATCACACGGATAAAACTGAACACCTTCTATGGAGCAGATGAGCGGAGCCCATTGTTGGGGTGGTCATACACTCCGGGGTCTGAGAACACACAGATTGTGATATGGAAGTAGCAACAGCGTATACATTGTGTATATGAGACATAGATTGTATGATAGATAATAATGATCTGCGCAGCGGCGTGATCAGGATCTGCGCAGCGGCGTGATCAGGATCTGCGCAGCGGCGTGATAAGGCTCTGCCCAGCGGCGTGATAAGGCTCTGCGCAGCGGCGTGATAAGGCTCTGCGCAGCGGCGTGATAAAGCACTGCGCAGCGGCGTGATCAGGATCTGCGCAGTCGGGTGATCAGGATCTGCGCCGCCGTGTAATAATGAGGACGTCATGACCCGAGCATCGGGAAAGGTTCCGTCCAGTTTTCTGTGTCTTTGTGCTGATCTAACAGAGATGTAACCTGAGGCTTCACATTACTGACACATGGACAAAGTGTGTGTGAATATGATGGTGAATGTGTGTTGGTGAATAGTCCTCTATGTCTGGCCACACTGAGGGCTGTGAAGGAAGTCGCAGGTGTCAATACAAAGTCAGATTTTGGTGTTTGGGATACTTTCCAGACACGTCAGTGCGGCAGAATTCTTTCTTCCTGGGATGTGATACGCGGCGGCTCCTGTATACGATTATATAGGATACTTTGCGTCACACTTGCCGCTTTCTCTCTATGGTCCGCCTGTCAGTTTTTCAAGTGGACCCGATTGGATGCCCAATGTAAGTCTACGGTCATCTGTTTACATGCGGTTACCCTCCGACCAAGTCCGGGAATACAGACAGATCAGAGTTCTGTGTCACTGGATTGGGGGGAATCTGATGTGAATGGACACATGTCCGTATAGATTCGTCTCCCCCGTAGACTGACATGGCGTCCGGTAACTGCAGTTTTTTTCCTCCATCACAAGACATCTGTGATCAGCAGAGGATCCGTGCACAGAAGTGGGCCCTATGTCTGTAAATCGAAGTTCTGCATCCTTTAAAAAAAAAAACATTTCTGTGCACAATGTATACTTTGTTTAGCCGCGGCGGATAAAGTGACACTAAACTCAGGAGGTAAATCTTTCAAATCCATTCAAGGACCTGAACTATTAACAGAAATGTATGTTATTTGTGTGTCACTCGGCTGTAGATCCTCAAATCATCTCTGAATTGGTGCTGACACTGTCCTTCCTTCTGGAGGGGGGCTACTTTTGTTCCCCATGGTCCCTGTGTGTGTTGTAAAGTAGTCACTGCTCCAAGCTCGCTCCTGTGATGGACTACAAGCTCATGCTGCTTTGTTTACTAATTTGTATTGAGATTGTAGTCCATCATGGCAGTGAGCTTGGAGCGGTGACTACTTTACAACACACACAGGACTATGGGGAACAAAGGTAGCCACCCTCCAGAAGGAAGGACAGTGTCAGCACCAATTCAGAGATGATTTGAGGATCTTCAGCCGAGTGATACATCAGATACATCTTTGTGAATAGTTGGGGTACTTGAATTCATTTTTAAGTTTTATCTCCTGAGTTTAGTGTCAGGCCACATGATGATTTATCGGGTTTGGTGTTGCCTTCCTCTGTATGGACTGTGGCTGTCTGTGGGCATAGGGTTCTACTCAGGGCAATTTTTCCTCTGCAGGTGGAATTAAGACTTTTTTTTTATCAACCTGACTCGCTATGCAAGTCCCTTTCACACAGTCTGATCAGGAGGGGGGGATCTGTACATGGATCTCCTGCTGATTGCAACAGATGTCACCATTGTGACACGTACATAATCCTAAAGAAAGACTCCAGGCATATTGAACGTTAACCCTTGCAGTGGGGCTCCCCCCGCACTGCAAGGGTTAAGTGCTGCTCTTTGTCTACGGGGTCTAAAATAAATAAGATATACTCATCCAATCCTCAGTCCTGTGACAGTAACCGCTCACCTCTGTCTCCATCCGCTCCGGCTGTGGAATGTCCCTTGGCGCCCTCACGCGCAATGTAAGTGGATGGACATGATGATGTCATGGGTCATTAGACAGTCAGAGCCCAGGGGAGAAGAGACTGCGGAGACCAGTCTAGCAGCCAGACAGGACAGAGGGTCAGGTGAGTATATCTTTATTTTACACCTAGACCACAACAAACTGTTAATCCTTGCAGTGCGGGGGTAGCCCCACTGCAGGGGTTAATGTTTAACATGCTCGGAGGTCTTCTTTAAATTCAGTACATAAGTGACAGCACTGGATTCATCCAGCATATGTGCCTGTTCCGAAGATTTCAAATGAACCTGATTTTTACACGTGCTGAGAAAGGCAAGAAGTTTCCTCTAACGCTCCCCTCCATCCATATGCTTTGAGTCACTATAGTCAGAGCTTACACAGGCTTAGGACACTCCCCACCCCAATGTGACAGTGCGAGACCAATCACTAAGCGCCATTGTCACATGACAGGAAGTGGAGTTAGTCACATGCTTCTCCATACCTGGAGTTTTCCTTGTCCCAGCTGCTGAATTGGGCAATGTGACGGAAAAGCGAGAATTTGCTAATAAAGCGCACCTGTTGCTTTGTCCAGCATGCACACAACATTTTTACCCCAAAAATAAAACTCCATATATGTATATTGTGTTATAACCCCTCCCCCCTATAAAATTAAGCCTGTCAAGTTTTGTTTTATTGCCTATGTTTCTTTTAAATACCCGCTGATCCTGACAGTTTCCCTTGGTTTCTATTTCAAACTGACGGCGCCAAGCACGGAAGCAGATCTGTCCTAGCGTAGTCCATGTGCATCTCTTCTCCTGAGTTGGGAGCTACAGCACGCCGCACTGACGCACGTTGTGCCTGTAGTCCTGAACGCAGATTCAGGTGTCACGGCCCCAGCCAACCCTCCAAGGTTTGATTGACAGCAGCTGTGCTGTCTGCAGAGCTTCATGTATGATGTCATTTGAAGCCACTGAGCATTGTCTACAGGCTCATTACTCCAAGCCATGGGAGAAGGGGCAAAAGTGTGTTTTAATAGTGCCTAATGTATTTGTGTGTTGTGTTCATTTTTGTAAGTGTTCCAAATAGGAAAAAAATAAATATATATATAGGTATTGTAATGTTAGTTATATATAATCTCCCGTGATGGACTACAATCTCATGTTTAGTTTACTTATTTGTATTGAGATTGTAGTCCATCATGGGAAAGATGGTTACTTTACATCACACACAAGGACCATGGGGAACAAAAGTAGCCCCCCTCCAGAAGGAAGGACAGTGTCAGCACCAATTCAGAGATGATTTGAGGATCTACAGCCGAGTGATACACAAATAAGATACATTTTTGTTAATAGTTATGGAACTTGAATGGATTTTTAAGATTTAGCCCGATTTTAGTGTCGCTTTAATAAGGGACAGTTGGTGACTCCGGTCACCCTATAGCTGAGCTGTTTTCTCCCGGCTCCACACTGTCACTGTCTAATACTACTACTAATAATAATAAGCGGTGGATGACTCGCAGCTTTCTTTTTTTCCTGGTTCGGATCCAATTTTGTTTTGAACTCTGGAGAAGCAGAGACCACTCCTTGTATTCCTCCTTGTGCACTCGAGCTTTGTGTTTGGCAGACAATGGACACGGTGATCTCACTACTGTGACGGTTCAGC